GTGTGTACAATCAATAACAATGATTACCGTGTTTGCCAGCTGGTATAAACGCACGGAGTAAAGTCAAGTTGTTGAAAACAACTTGTCCCACCTGAGAATTTAAGAACCGAAACGTCACCACGACAACAACATCAACAGACTGATTTTGCCAATATTTTCTTCCGCCATTTTTTAAACAAAGGAACGGGTAAGGGCTTTGAGTACCACTCACTGAATCCCCTCTTCCGTAGTTGGTCAGTCTTTTCAAAGTTTCCGTCATTCAAATTCCTTGCCTTTTTCCTTTGGTGTCCGAATTCCAGAGCAGAAACTGTACAAATACACACGTCAAAAAGTGATTTCTTTCATTTGAAATATTTTAATTTTTGGTGCAAAAATGGTACATAATGGCCCTGTCAAAATAAGGGAAGAAAATGGCTACTTCAGTCTGTTGATGCTGCATGTTCTGATGGAGACGTTGAATCCTTGAAATTCTCAGCTGGTGAGTTGCTGTTTCAACACCTTGACGCTCTTATAATTTGTTTGGTCTCTAGGATCTTCACTTTAATCACTTTTGCAACCACTCCAAAAGAATAAGAACCTAAAATGTTGGAAGGAATTCTAGAGAAGTCTACCAGTTTACACGGCGGCCACGACGCACATATTTACCACTCGAAAGGCCACGACACACCTGCCGACCGAGGTTATATTAGTCTTTACCAGGCTGGAAAAATTATAGCGCCAAATAGAGCGAGTTGGGCCAAATAGAGATATATGTGTGGCAAACTAGACACTACCAAAATGTTCTTGTGTTTCCTTGTGCAATGGAAATTTTTCTGTCAGCAAGATTGTTATTCTTTCAACAAGAATCTCCGTTTCAAGAAAATTCAAGAAACCCACGTTGTTCTTATTCTAAGAATTTTTTCCTACAGCTAATTAACCAATATTTTAGGAGTATCATTCTTGTGGCAAGCATTTCGGGTTCTTACACGAAGAATCTTTTAGCTTTTGTAGTATCAGTTTCTTGAAACTCTTTCCTTAATAGCATTTCTTGTACCTAGACTACGGTTCTCATACCAAGCTTGAAGCAGAACATTAAAAAGACTTCTTGAAGCTAGAATAATATTCTCGCAATACGATTAAGTTTCTTGCAGCAGGATAAGTTTTAATGGGTTTTCCAATGCATGTTGCATGGCAGGAAACCCCTTTCTTTCCTCAAGAAAATAATTCTTATACCAAGATTAAAGTTCTTGCAGCAGCAATCCCCTCTAGCGAAACAACTCAACTGGCATGTAATCTTTTTATTTGGCCAAATTCTACTCTTTACAGCCGCTTCCCGAAGCCTGGTAGAGGCTTAGAATGCGCCAGAATGAGCCATGTGATAGCCTTTCAGCAGATGCTCTTTTATGTCCACTTCAATCAGATGGTCGAATATTACACTATTTTAATTCCCTCGGGTGATATGCACAACTATACACAGGCCATACGTCAAAAGGGTCATGAAGAACTGTGACAGGGCCCGTAACACTTCGTATATATATATATACACGTACAATGGGTGGTTTATGATACATGCATTAGTTAGCCTGAGATACCGGTTTTACATGTAGTTACAAACTCTTCGTTGGCAATTTAACGTAGACATATCAAGTTCAAAACACTGCCTTTTTACAGAGCAATTCTTTATTGGCGGAACGTTTCTACGCACTACCGACTTGTGGAAACTTTTTGGTGAATATTCACCCACAGAAATTCCGTGAGTTACTCTCACCGAGAAACACCGAACTTTCCAGTAATGGGGCCGTGCCTTGCACGACCTCCAGACCATTGAGTGGTTCAAAAATGGGTGTTGTGAACGTGTCGTCAATAAAATGAAATCAAGGTAATGTTTACCATTTTACACGGCGTAACGCGCTCTGATTGGCCAAGATGACGTGGCTGCACAAACACATATTATCAAGTCTGTGAAAAATCTTCATCCAGGATACGTGAAAGCTCGTCCGCTAGCTCTCATAACTATACAATGTGATAGTGGTAATTGCCGGGAATTTAGTATTTATCATACTTCGTTGCCATAGTTCAGTAAAGGTGAAGATCACTAAACACAATTTATTCAAACCCGGTCCTAATTTGCATAATTCATGAGGAAATGGAAAAATATCTCTCAAGTTAAGAGTATATTTGTTAGTAAATCCTCGTGAGAAACTTATGACTGGCTCACGTACTAAAACAAGTATCTCCATTAACAATAACCATGATCATCACTCACATCAAAAGTGAATCACGTCGCCGAGGCGTGTTTTAAACGCCACTTTTTTTTTGCTGGGGTACGGGGTGATTTTCCGGTCCCGACCGATAGTGTCAAAAACAGGCAGACCCCGGTTTTTAATTGTGACCTAGGCATAACAGACATCAGATAGTCAGATGACATCAACCAATCAGAAGGCTCCATTTTCTATGGTTACTCGTGTTTATTTAATATTTATTTCTGTTTTATTTATACAGGGTAGAGACCTCAGTGCTATTTAAAAACACTGCTTTTTAGGAGGCCGTAACCTCAAAACATAACTGACCACTTTTTTGACCGTACCATTAAAAAGGGGAAATTACACTAAAAGTACAAGCTGCGTAAAGCCGGTCTGTAATGTTCGAACCACTCCCATCGATACGTGCGGTGGGTTCTTTTAACGTTCGTCGGATGAAGCTCTCTGAAACACAGGATCTCCATTTAACGTCCTATCGGAGGGACGTCCCTAACCAAAGCTAGGTGCTCATTTACACCTAAGCAAAGTAAGGAAAGCCGTGCGTGTAAAGTGCATTTCCAAGGATAAGATCGATGGAATCAAGCAGGATTATCCTGCTTGATTCCATCGATCGATTCGAACAAGGGGCCATTTTGTCTGAGCCGAACACTACCGTTACGACACATGACCCACCAGTTGTTACCAGTTGTTGAGTGATCACACACTGTTTACATACACTATTACTGTTCTCAATCTGCAAAATATAAATCTTCACGGAGAATTGTCGACTATGAACACTTGTTGAATACTGTCAAGATTGCAAACACTGAAAATTATCAATTGTTTTAAACCTTTCAGTATGCGAACCAATCCCTGAGGATTTTGCAATCGACAGCAGGCTTGCAATGCTACCAAATCAGCTGGGACAGACGACATTTGAGGAGATACAGAATTCCTCTGTCGTGGAGCTGCTCAACATTTCGTACAGCATCGCAGGAAAGTACCACCCAGAGATGAGGACATTCATATCAACGGTTATTTTCCCACAATGCAATGTCTCCGAAGAGAACAAGACTCGCTGCTCTTCACCAAATGCAGGCAACATGACCTCATGCATGTGAGTGGAAAAAATAACGTTATGATAATGACTTTTAGTCACCTGAAAGGCTTCGATTAACCTAAAGAACAGAAGCAATATGACGTCAGTTTTTGCGTGTGCAACAAATCTAGTAAATGTGCTACTTTCGCTGACTGGTATTATATCTACTGATGTTTGTCAGGGGAACACAGCTGGTACCATGCCGCTCGTGGTGTGAAGAAGTGCTCAACATGGCTGATGACTGGATAAAGAACCAGCTGCCGCGATGTAGTTTGTTTCCTTCATCCGATCACAATTGTTGGAATTCTAATTCAGCTAAGAAGGGAAGCGAAGGTAAAAATGAAGATTTTTTTGTCCGTTTCTCCACAGGAATTAGTTATAAATGGGACTCTACTATAAGAATTTTTACCTCCATGAAAAATGGAGGCATTGTTTTGGCGTGTCTGTGTGTGTGTCTGTGTTACCGCACATTTGTAGCCAGCAACCTTTAAATGGATTGTAATTATATTTGGTATGTGGGTAGGTGTTGGATAGGCAAAGGTCAAGGTCAATTTTGGGCCTCCTGGTGGCTGACCTTGGTACTACAACAGAACTTCCGGTTTTTGTATCTTTTGTTCTTGACATGCTATGGTCTTGATTTTTGAGTGGTGGATAGCTTTTCCTGCCTGTGGTACGTGGTGTGGGTTTGGTGTGGGTTTGGTCCCCCCTGCTCTGAAAGGTTTTGTCAGAACCCCCTGCCAGATAAATTCACAAAGAAACAATGTATCTTTATGATTTTTGGTATGTGGGTAGCTTAGACAGAGATCTACATTATTGGAAACAAGCTATGCAAACGATGACTTCATTTGCCTCATGGGCACGCCAACCAAATTCATCACATTTAATCAAGGGTGTATCATGATGACACATACACTATTATCTTGTGATATGTGTTGGTTTATATTCCTCAGTTTGCTACCACGGCGTCGGCATAAACTACCGTGGCACATGGAGTAAAACTACATCCGGGGCAGATTGTGTGGAGTGGTCAGCTCCGCAAGCTGGTTACTACAAGACAGAGTTTCCCTGGGCAAACCTGGATAACAACTACTGCCGCAACCCTACCGGTCTGGAGCGGCCATTTTGTTTGACCGAAGACGGTAGCCAGGAGGAATGTGACGTCATCCCGTGTGGTAAGTTTTCTTGTAAGGAAGTAATTATGTCTTCCTTTTCAGAACCGTTCATTATTTCTTGGCTAACACAAAGATTCAATCCAGCAAATTTGAAACACAAGTGTCCAACCGTTTTAATCCAGCAAATTTGAAACACAAGTGTCCAACCGTTTTGACAAGATCATGATGAAGATTGAGTCTTTCGGCTCTACCCCCAAGGTCGGTGACATGGAAGTCAAAAAGCTTCGCGAGGAGAACACTAAGCTACGCAATAGGGTACAACACCTGGAAGAGATGATTGCATCCCTACAGTCTGCCTCGACCGCCTTGCAAAAAGACACGAGAGACATCAAACTATCAAATGATGTACTCAAGGTGAAAGTGGCCAACATCAAAGACCAAATGAACAATACGCAGTCCCCCGCTGCTTCACACGAACACGTGGAGACAAGGGAAATCCGCCACACCGAACCCATGGTGACGACGTATGCATTACCGACAAAAAACCGTTTCGAGGTATTGAGCAAAGACACAACCTCCAAAGATTTGACTGAAGAGAAACGAGTCGAAACAAAAGAAACCGCCATCCCTAATGGAAATGCAACCTCTAGGGCACCTTCTCATTCGAGTCAGCACCCCAAACGCGTAGTGCTAATTGGGGACTCTAACGCGCACAAACTCAAGCCAAACCTGTTGTGCCCCTCTGCAGACATGCCAAGGCCCTACTGGTCTCCAAATCTTTACACAACGCCAACAGTCCTAGAGAACATATCAAAAGAGGAGACCACCCCAAACACAGTGATTCTGCACCTTGGGACAAACGACTTGATAGCGAAACCAAAAGAAACTGTCATCTCAGAGTTTGAAGTAGCCGTGAGTACCACACAATCACTATTCCCTGACGCGAAGGTGGTAATCTCAGCTGTTCCGCCAAGAAGAAATGCCAACTCCTACCGCCCAAATATCAGCAAGGACATTTTGTCAGTAAATCAACATCTTGAAGACATGTGCAAAGCGAACGACTCACTGTTATATGTTGACCATCCACAGCTGTGGAACGAAAGTGAGTACAACGAACGCATGTTTGAAAAGGATGGGTACCACTTAAATGGAGACGGTACTAGAATCTTGGCTTTCAATCTCAAAAAGCAAGCCACAAATGCCCTGGGGCTCCCTCCAAGATCTTCCCGTCGCCCCAATTCTGAAAACACAGACAAGGCCAACGGGGATTACCATGCCTCCCCCCCAAGACAAAGAAGGAAGAATGGTTATCCGTCCAACAGACGAGATGGACCCGTCAGATCAGACGTGCCCAATCAGTACCGTCCCAGGAGGAATAGCGGACAAACGAAACCACCCTTCGTATCAGAAAGGGCCTATAGGAACGGTAGCACGTTCTACAACCGCCCCAAGTCGCCCCCGGGGGTAACCTCAAGTCAGGGTGTGAACACACAAGGCTCCCAACGGTACACACCAGGTGTTACCAACGGCCAGGTGAACTTCGCTCCACCTCGTATGCCAAGCGGACCAGTGAACTTCGCCCCTGCTCCTGCTCCGACCTTCTTCCCACCATGGTTCCAAGAATGGCCCTCCCCAGCAGAGGTGTATGGCCGCCCCCCACCAGGTGGAATACCTCAGTGGCCCAGCCCTCCGCCGTTCCCGTTCTTCAACGGCCCTAGGAATGGCCTTCCGCCATTGAGGCAAGCGGCGGGCAAGTGCTAGCAGCGGACGTCGGACAAGCAGCAGGTAACCGCCGAACAACCCCATCACCGTGACGTAACGACAGGAGGTGGTACGGATGTTCCGGCTCATCATTCGGACACAATTTGCGACCTCACTAATCTTTTATGAAAATGTGCATTCCTCAACGGACTTCACAATCGAGGAGTGAATCAACTTTGGACACACGTAAAAGCAGAAACTTTGGTATCTCCATAGGTTTCTGGAACATTCATGGCCTAGGTAGAAAGTTAGAAGATAGTGAATTTATCAATCAGTTTAGTGGGTTTGACTTCTTTTCCCTAATGGAAACCTGGCACACTGGTGAGTTATCTTTTCCTAATTTTCTTAATTTTACCAGCCACAGAAAGAAATCAAAGAAAGCTAAACGCAATTCAGGTGGTATACTGTTTATATACAAAAAGCAATATAAAGGTCTAGTCACTAAATTGGAAAGTAAAAGCGAAGATATCCTCTGGGTTAAATTAGACAAACGTTTATTTAATCATGATAAAGATATATATTTAGCGTCTGTATATATCAGCCCAAAAGGCTCCACCGTGCACAGTAACAGAACATACGATATTTTTGATATACTTGAGGAAGAAATAGCATATTTTAATGACCTTGGTGAAATTCTGGTAGGTGGTGACTTTAACGCGCGAGTAGGCACAATACCTGACTATATTGAAAACGACACCCCTATAGATATGCAAACTCTCCCCATTAACTACGATTTTGACCACCCCCTCTCCAGAAACAATATGGACGATGGGCAACCAAACGTTTTCGGTAAAAACCTAATTGACCTATGTATAAATAGTAAACTTAGAATATTAAACGGCAGAACACCCGGCGACCTCCTTGGAAAGCCAACGTGCTACCAGCCCAATGGTTGTAGCGTTGTTGATTATGTTTTAGCCAGTGAAACCATCCTACTCCGTAAAACGACCTTCTTTCATGTCCACGCATTATCACCGTTTTCCGATCACTGCAAAATTTCCTTATTGTTAGAGAGCAGCCCCAACTTACCGGAACACATAGAATATAAATTACCAACTCGCCCATTTCATAAATTTGTCTGGAATGCAGACTCAAAGGAAAAGTTTATCAAAATAATAAATTCAACAATGTTCTACTCAAGGATTAACCAATTTATGCATAAAAATTATGAGTTGACACCAGAATGTTTAGACACTGCCTTACAAGATTTTATACGTCCGCTGCAGGAGGCCGGAAGAAATTCTTTGTCCTTGCGCATAACAAAAAAACGAAAACAACAGTATAAGAAACAAAAAAGTAGAAAAAGATGGTTCGACCAAACATGCGCATCGGCCAGACAAGAACTAAAAAACTTAGGTAGACTACTCTCAAAAGACCCACGTAATCCTTCCCTCAGAGGTTCCTATTTCAAAAAGAAAAAGCTGTACACAAGACTTATACGCAAAACTAAAAAGGAATTCAAAAACAATTTCCTCAAACAACTTAACTCATACTCTGATAATAACCCGTCGTCATTTTGGTCACTCCTGAAAGATTTCAAGTCCAACAACAACAACAATAATAAGATGAATACTCAAGATCTAATCTCAGATGAAAAGCTCCATGCACACTTTAAAAATCTTTATGGAGAGGAATCCAACCCCGTCCCCGACGCTTCAATATCACCCGGCAGCTTCGAAATGGAAATTAAAAACAAAATATCAAAGTTAGAGAACGATCTGAAAGACAATCCCCTAGACAGCCAAATTCTAAGTACCGAGATCAGTAAAGCAATTTCAAACCTTAAAAATGGAAAAGCTTCAGGTAGTGACCTAATTCTCAACGAAATGCTAAAGTGTTCCCCACATACTCTTATTAAGCCCCTTACTAAACTTTTCAACCTTTTTCTTTCGTCTGGCTATTTTCCCCAGAATTGGTGCACTAGTCATATTGTCGCCCTACACAAGGGCGGGTCTAAAGATGATCCTAGTAACTACAGAGGTATTTCGGTCACCAGCTGCCTAGCAAAACTTTTCACATCAATTTTAAATACACGATTAACAACTTTTTTAGACGACAATAAACTTATCTCCCCCAACCAGGCCGGCTTCAGAAAACAATTCAGTACAAATGACAATCTCTTTGTCTTAGACTCTCTAATTACGAAATATTTTCATAACAATAAACGCCTTTATACATGTTTCATAGATTTTAGAAAGGCATTTGACACAGTCTGGAGAGAAGGGCTCCGTTTCAAATTACTAAATTCGGGAATAGGGGGGAATTTCTATAAATTAATCAAATGCTTGTATAGTAAACCCGAAACCTGTGTCAAAACAAAATCTGGCCTTACACCGCCATTTGTGACTGATAAGGGTGTCCGACAGGGGTGTAACTTGAGCCCCACCCTTTTTAATTTATTTATTAATGATTTAGTGAAAGAATTAGATAATTCAGAATGTATGCCACCTGCTCTACATAATCTATATGTCTCTTGTTTATTGTATGCTGATGATGTTGTAATACTTTCAGAATCAGACAAAGGCCTACAATCGGCCTTAAATAGATTGAGTAGCTTTTGCGATAAATGGAAGCTCCAAGTAAATTTGAAAAAAACAAAAGTTGTTATATTTAACAAAGCTGGCCGTTCCTTTCCAAAACAAAAGTACTACTTTGAAAACAACACAATAGACAGCGTTCCCTCCTACTGTTATCTAGGCCTAACCCTTACATCATCAGGAAGCTTCACCCTGACTAAAAAGCAGTTATCACTGAAGGCACGTAAAGCCATTTATAGTTTTAAATCTATCATCCGTTCATCAGTCTCACCACGTAGCCTCCTAAAGATTTTTGACACATGTGTAAAACCAATCTTACTGTATGGATGTCAAATATGGGGGACTGAACAGCAACATGATACCTCACCTATCGAAAATGTACACAACCAGTTCTGTAAAAATATTCTCGGTGTTTTTAGAAATAGTAGCAATATCGCATGTAGAGCAGAACTAGGTAGATTTCCTTTAGATATAGATATTTGTATATATATAGTTAAATTCTGGTTACGACTGGTACAAATGGAGACAACCTCACACCCCCTTCAAATGGACGCACTCCTCTTACAGCATAGCCTTCCGACAAATACCCGTAGACGGACTTTATTGCAACGTGTTAAAGATGTATTAGATCACAATGGATATTCCTTTTTATGGCATTCCGATAACTCACGTCGTGACCCTGAACATGTTGTGAAAATGCTGAGAAGGAGACTTACAGATATGCATATACAAACATTTTTTCATACTTTGTCAACCGATAGTGGTAAGTTAAGATTTTATGCAAAATGTAAAACTATGTACAACATAGAACGATATCTCGATATCGCAGATTTCGAACTACGCTCAGCCATTAGTAAAATTAGAGTTAGCGCCCATCCTCTGGAAATAGAGAGAGGCCGGTATAGAAGACTACCTGTATGTGAAAGAATTTGTAAATATTGTAGTGCAAAGGCTGTGGAAGACGAAATACATTTTATTTCAAACTGTTCATTCCATAACGACGCTCGAAATGAATTGACTTTTCAAACTTCTACAATTTATCCCAATTTCTCTAAACTTACAGACCAAGAAAAAACTATTCTTCTTTTAACTTCCCAAAACCCACAAATTTTGGAAAAGGTGGGACATTACGTCTTCCATGGTTTACAGAAGAGAAGTCAAACCCCTCAGACATAGTTTTAGACATAGTTATAGTTCTAGACAACTAACGTTTCATGTAGACTTTAGTTATTTTATACCCTACTCCATTGTTCTTTTATGTTTTGTAATTTGCAATTAGCCCTCGGGCAAGAATTTGCAATAAACTTTCTAATTATTTGCTTCTTGGACAATATGAGCACTTCTTTTGTTCTACCCAGATCATTCCATAAAGATTTTTCCACTGACTGTTATATCCATAACATTTTTTTCCACTGACTGTTATGTGTAACTGTATACACCAGATGCTGAAGGCTGCTGGGACAGAGGTCCTCCAAACTACGGCAAGAGAACTCCAACCAAGAGGTTCTACTACGTAGGAGAAAAGGTGACATATTCCTGCAACGAAGGCTACAAACTCAAGTCCGGTTACACCAATGAAGTGAGGTGCATCGGAGGAGGCCATTGGCAGTATGACAAGCCCAGTTGTTCAGGTAAGTTTTAAAGCTTCAGTCTTTGCAACAGGTGGATTGTACACAGCGTAATATCCGTTTTACTGTGCATACGCCAACTATTGTTGTGTCACGTTTATGTTTGTGGGACAGATAAACATGAATAAATCAACCTAAGAACAACAGTGGGAAGAGGATATTCGCCTACAGATCTATAAAGCTGTGGAATGCATTGCGCAGTGAACTTGAGACTGTATCTGATGCGAGACAGTTAAAGAAAATGCTTCATCAATTGTACGGATCTTAATCATGGTTTGACCCTGATAATAATTATTTATATTGTAGAAGCAAATTAGTAATTCGCAAGTTTTATTGTTGTTAGTTTGTTGATTTTAGTAATAGTTAGTTATTTGACCTGTGACCCCAATTTTCAATTCCTAATTTTTAACACATATATATATATATATTACAAGTTACATATATATACATGTATATGTGTGTGTGTGTGTGTGTGTGTGTATAATCTGTCCTTTTGTGTATATATCTTTTTTTTATAATGAAGCAACTTTAAACTGACATTTCCAACACAACAAATTGGACTCACCCAAATTTCCAACTGTACAACTCCAGTCTTTGCCAAGGAATGAGCAATCAGACGCTTCCGTGACGTCACACAGATAACACACGTGACTCCATGAGCAGTGGATCATGGATTGCAGAAAGTGTGTGGCGCCCCCGTCTGTGTTGAGGGATGGTTGTAATGCCCTGATGTAGATGGTCTCTAATCCTTCGTGCAAAGAAGTCCGGTTCTGAGTCAAAGATTCTTACTTTGTCCAGTGAGACTGAATGTCCAGGCGATTCTATGTGTATATGTTGTGAGACCTCTGAAGTAGTCGAGCTAGCTCGTTTGTGTTCTATTGAGAGATCTTTCAGTCTCTCTAATATAGGTTTCCTTACATGGGCCCTTGGAAATCTGTCCTTGACACTGTATATGGTAAACTACCCCATATGGTAAACTTGTTTGATAAATTATAAATGATCTAACTCACTAAAACCAGAATAAATCAAATCCTTTTGTCATGTGTTTGCCATGGACAGTTTATCATCGTTAGTCACCTTCAACAGAGGTAAAGCGTAATGCGTTTATTAGGTAGTTAAACGTATCCGACGAATCGCGTTTCATAACATATAGGTACAAAAGTTTGACAATCAATTTCATATTTATCAGTTTCTGCATATTTTACGGATTTTACACGCAAAAACGCACCCTCCTCCAGTAAACCATAGGCAAAGGCTGCAAGAGGATCTACTGGAGATTTCCAGTACAAGTCTGCCACCTGAGAATGTTATCATCAACTTCACTGGATCTGTGGTACAGCTTGTCGACTTGGTAAGTACATTTATCTGTTGCACACTTTATACCCCCTTTAGTTTCCACTACAAAATCACTTTTTAAGACCACAAATGCAGCTTAATTGATGCTGTAACTGGTATTTCAGGATGAAAAGAATGAGCAACTGGTGGCGTCCGCTCTCCTCGATTTCGTAAGTTGTCATAGTTATGAGTATATTACTAAAAGTTAAGGAAAATTTTTGCAGAAAATATTTTGGTCACGTCATTTTGGCCTGTAGACATTAAATTAAGAGCTTGTTTGTTTGTTTGTTTGTTTGTTTATTCGATCTCCATATTTATTCGATCTCCATATTTATGCTTGTTGTTTTTCTTTGTCGTCGTTTTGGGCATTAAAATGTTTCTTTTCGTTAGACATGGCAGGACAGCCGACTGAGTTGGGATCCAAAGTACTATGATAACGTCACCAGCCTCAGCGTTCACGGCAACGATATTTGGACACCGACATTGACTCTGAAAAGAAAGTACGCTCTACTTCTTTAATTGGCACTTTTTAAAGATATCAATCCATACATAAAGTTCCCTTCATCATATTAAATATGAATTAGTATATCTGAGCAACACAATGTCTAGGCTTTGCGTTATCTCAAAACCGCATGACCTGTATACTATGTCTATGTCATTATATAAATACACAAGAAGACAATGTTTTAATACATTTGACAAAACACAAACGGCCAAAATTTGTTGGTTACTTCGCAGTGCCGATCCGGTCTACAAAGGCCTACAGAAGGATGTGCCGGTCCGAGTGAGCAGCGATGGTCTGGTGGAATGGAGTGTAGAAACCCTGACCACCACCGTGTGTGATGCAGACCCCTTCTTCTTTCCCGCAGACACCATGGAATGCAACATCTGCTTTTCTGCAACCACAGCAATTGCACAAACCATCCGTAAGTGTTGAAGTCATATTGTTTTTCCTGAAGTTCCGTACGTGGTAAAGTAATGTTTTTTTTTCCTCACGTTTCTTTTCCCTCTCCTCATTCTCCTGCCATTTCCTTAAATTCATGCAACTCCTTCATTTTTTGGGGCAAATAAGATGGCATTTGGATTGAAGCTAGAGTGGGCAAATACTCTAAGGCTTTTTTTTTCATTTCTGTGATACAGAATTGTTATATTCGAGCCTTTTGGCTGTGTTTCGAAAATGTACTATAGCAGTGTGTTACCATATTTGGGCATGAGTCATCAGAATGGCATGTAGAACAGGCAAGCAATAGGCATGCAGCTTTCTTTTCTTCTCCTTGCTGATTGGCTGTTCGGATCTGATTTTGTTAACTCAATTAACACCTGTACAAAGCCATGCCATATTGACAGTATGAACTTTATTCAAGTGTTTTGGTATGTAATTATGTCAAGCTTTCCTGCTCCAGCATTGGAATGCTGGGCGTAAACGCATCTTAAAAATCAACAGCTTGCATTATGCAATTAAAAATCCCAACCTATAATGTAAGGGATAGCTATCCAACTGTTGTCACTTTATGCCATAGTTATATCAATGTAAAGAATTGTTTTTCTTGTATTTCTCCTTCTTTCCTTGCCATGTCGTGAAATGTGGAAGTCATGCTGAATGACAATGCTTTACAGACGGAGGATACACTTATAACTACCAAAACAAAATCTTATGTATTTTACATTTCTGATACATATTGTCCTAATAACAATGATTCATTTGAACAATATGTTTAACATAGAATGCCAAGTGGGATGCCTGCAGTAGACATGGGAATCACTCCGTGCAACTCTTACTCTTCTACAACACCGGCGGGTGAATGGTACCGAAAGGATAAGATCTTTGCAAAAGACAACAGTGACGCGTGTCTCGCCGTTCATCTGTCGAGGATCCCGCTGTTCCACATCGCCACTACTGTAGGACCCTGCATCATCCTGGTGGTACTGATGAACATCACATTCATCACGCCCTTAGACAGGGGCGACCGGATCGCGTTTGGAGTGACCATTCTACTCTCCATGGTCGTGTCTCTCGTGTTTGTGACAGACGTACTTCCTGTCAAGGGGGCACTGCCTCTTTTCGGTGAGTAAAGATTAGATATAACCTAACAGTATTGTTTTCAAAACCATTTGTTCAAGACAGTGGCTACTTTGATGTATTCTGGTAACTAGTTACCATCTCTAATGTTACAGCTACGCTGGTCATCTTGTGGATGGGGCTGATGGGATTATTCCTGTTCTTCACTCTGGCCATCATCGTCATTTACGACCGGCAGGGCAGCCTGTCTCCGCGGACGAAGATTATTTTCCTCCGCTACATTTCGAAGTACCTACTATTTTTTTTTGCTTAGTACATCTTTTCGATATCTGAAAGAACCTTATCATTTTACTCTGCACACAACCATCAATGAATAATCACCTATTTATATGGAAATAATTAAATATCATTTTATTCATTTAAATGATTCTTGTCTGTTATTTAGGATGCTGCTGCTGGGAGATCTAACAGAGGAGAAACGTACGGGTGACGGAGAGGCTGGTTTGCTTCACCAGCCTGACATAGAGATGACCAACTACGCCTTTCAAACTGATGACATGGCGGCGGTCGACGAAGGGAGAAGGTGCGGTATTGGTTATAAGTGAAAACTTAATTGACACAACATAAGTACAGTGACTTTCGTAAGGTCTATAACTAGACATACATACAGACACGTGGGTACAAAAGAATTGACCTACGTACTTCTGCAGCTAAATCAACTAATAACTCTTTCTTGTAAGGTTCTAGGGTCTAAACATACTCTAATATAGTTACCTATCTGTACACAGTAAGGGTTACTGCCTTCTAGAATGAAGTTGACTTTATCTTATTATATCATGAAGGTCACAAATTCAGTTAAGCAAGCTGAAAGAAGGTTGAACAGATTTCTTCGTTTCTCATCCATAATAAAACGCCCTTCATCTTCCAGGAGCACCGGGCAGCCATCGACGCCTCCCACAGATACAGGGCTGGAGACCACCGGTTCTTCCGGTCTACCTGAGCTGATCTCGTGTGTGAAGGAGATGACCAAGGAGATGACCAGGGGGCTTGGGGACCTGACCAAAGCTATGAAGAACGAGGAGGAGGTGTCCGACTACACCCTGCTGGCTAAGGTCCTGGACAGGCTCTGCCTTGTCATGTACATCATCTGCATCGTGATTACCATTCCTATGACCATGTATTTGAGCAAGTAAAGACCTGTCAGAAATATTGATAAAATGAAAGTGTTGTGTAACCAAACCAAAACACCTGGTTTATATGCAAGTTATTTCGTAACGTAGAGTGTAAAAGATGGTCAACAGCTGACGAAATTTGATCGGCTTTGGGTGAAAAGTCTTTCCAACATTTTACCCAGACACAATGTTGTACATATACTTGTTAAGGCCATGTTAATTTGATTATATGGATGGGATTATCTGGGAACCCCAACACTGATTGGAGCGTGCGATTACAAAAGTTTGGCAAAAAATTAATCTATGTGGTCATGAAGTTAGAACAAATGACTAAGCACGCAGAGTATGGTATGGCGAAAAAATTGACTCTTAATTTTCATTTTTTACCATTTTCTTCTTTTCCTTTGGGATTGGCAGTCTATGACATAAGTATCATTTCCAATATTTCAATATTGCAATTTATCGGAAATATTTGCTAATTAGCTGCGTGTACGATTTATAGTATGGTTGAAAACATTTTTTGTAAACGTACGAAAATTCATGCGCGTGCGTATGTTATCTAATATAATCAAATCATCAAGAGCTAATGAATATTTAATACGTTTTACCACTTTATTTGATCAATTTAAGATCTTTTTGTGAGCATGTATATAAATCTATACATTATTATACATTTCAACCAAACGGACCTGACTTTATGGATGAGATCCCCTAGACACAAGGCTAACGCCCGTTGCCGAAAAAGGGCACACCAGAAAAAAGCATAGATTTTGATATTTCAAGCCTTTTTGATTTCTATTGCAGAAAATTTTGCGACAATATAATTTTGCACATGTCCTTTCAGGATGTTGCTTGTCGCATTTCAGAAGACGGTGCAACAAGCTGACTTCTACACTCTATCTGGGAGTACTTACTTTCTTCTTTTAAGAGACTGTATAAGACAGTAACCTCCACATTTGCTCTTTCTTGTCTGGTTTTAGAAGACAGTGTAACAAACATGCGTCTCGTTCTTTTAGGAGTTAAGCTGATTTATTTCTCAGAATTTCTTAAACTAACTTCTATATTAAGTCGCCCTTGTGGCGTAGATAGTCTTTCAGAAGTCTGTGTGACAAAACTAACTTCTAAAGTTGCTCTTTTAGGTTCTACATGTGTAATAAACTTCTACATATAGAAATTGATATAAACACATTGCGGAAGAAGTAGGAGTAAACTATCCGGAAGGCCATGTTACTTCAAATTTGAACACTAGATCGAAAAAAAATGCATTTGAAGATTCTAGTCATGGGGTCAATTTAAAAGTGGCACTTCTTCCGAGTAGCAAATAAATCAGACACAACTCGATAGATTACATGGCAAGTTGCGAAAACTAGTAGCAGGTCATTTTTTTCATTTTTGGTTTAAATGCTGGAAATCGCTGCGCGCGTGGAGGTCATCCATAAAATCAGATCAGTTTTACTATCTTATGATGTCATATTAAACTGTGTGCGATTATTACATCAAGGTAACATGTTATTTCTCATTTAATCCGTATTACAACAGCATTGTTTATCATAAGAATTCATATTTAATCAAGACACGAACAAAAATTACACATATAATATTTCTCTGTATGATTTAGCACGATTTTAGCACAATTAAGCGATTAAATGTTACTATTAGAGTATCTAATATTTGCAATTCATACTAACTTTCTACTTTGTCAACCCCGCCTTAAGATGTATATATTCAAACTAATATATCATAGCTAATATATTCAAACACTTGTAATTGGAGTTAAACAAATTGTGATATGTGAATCTATTTGCTCTACATCTTTTCATTATAAACCACTTCAGACATTGAAAGGTACATTTTAAAACTTTACGGAGTTTACAATACGAACATAGATGAAACCCTGTATATGTGTGATTATTACATAATGATAACATGTTATTTCGTTTTCAATACATATTATATCAGTGCTGTTAATCAACAAAAGCAGAAATTCATTAATATTTAGTCGAGGTACGATTAAAATGACACAGACTATATTTTTTGCAGGATTATATCCAATGTCAGCACAATTATTGATATTGACGATTACAATATGTAATATTTGCAAATGAAACCAATCTTCTACTTAGTCAAACATGTCTTGAGTCATGAATCATCAATGAATATTGAAAGATTGCAGCTATGAAAATTGTCTTCATATACATATACATATTTCATCTAAAACTTCAGACTTTAAATGATAAGTAACGTTTAACTGGACAATCGTATGGGTAAAATCATGCTTAGTCCACTACAAAAATTTACTGTTTTAAAGTATGGTCGAATATAGACTACTTATGTAATGCTTTAAGTGTTTTAGACGAGCTGGTACATATAAAAAGGCGCCTAGGAAGAGAGGTTTGATAGTTTCCATCAGATGAGTATTGTGTCTAATTTTGTGATCACTCTTTCACCATTAGTATCAATGATAAACGGATCAATGTGCATGTTCTATCAAATTGATGTCTGGGAACACAATTTGTGTATTAAGTCTTTAAAAATGCCGTGCTTTTTATATTATTGTGTCATATCCTTCACTGTTACTGTGTCGAAAAATGCAACGATAAGCTATTCATTGGCGACATTGCTATCGCAACTGGTCGTCACCATCGTCAGCTAAATGTCCCAACTTCTACTTCTGTCGTAAATTAATGTGGACAACTCAGGAGTAACACTTTGTCGACATTATCATATTCAAGTTTTAAAACCACAATTAATAACGATGAATAACCACAATTAATAATCTGTGGTATATGAGAATATGTTTTTGTTACTGCCAACTTGCCATGTTCTGGCTTGTAGCGTGAGGCCTTTCCTGGCAGTTACATGCCCAGTTCTACATACAGAGCCTAAGTCCATATGATTTATCTGACTGCATGTAGGCATCACATTAAAAAGCCATATGTCAGAAAAAAATTGCCAAATCTAATTCAGTTGCGACAAAAGACAGTTCAAGTTGCAAGCATAGATACATGTACACACTTTGATACAGCAAGGGCATTATATAGTAAGAGCACCTGTATATGTCCTTCTATAAAACTTTGACAGGGCTGATTTGAAAGTTGGAATTTGAGCAAGGTTGATTTTCCAAACTGAGTAACAAAAGTATCTGGGTCATTCTACCCTTTGAAAATGTTACACTGAAAACCAGTAGAAAATAACAAATTTAAATCTTTGAAAACTGACCAGTTTGCAAATCTGCTAGCTTTGTTCTGGAGGATAGACTGTCCAGGATTTTTATGAGTTTATGGGCCAATTCACTATTAAATCTGCTGGGAAGGTCACGGTGGGAGCACTCCTTTATTGTTCTTACCCAGGGAAAAAAATGGCCGGTTTAAGCTGCAATGGGGCTGAAATCCATCTAAATCCCTCTTGAGTTACTTTGTTTGCAAACACACACACACTCTCTCTCTTTCTCTCTCTCTCTCACACACACACACACACACACAAACGCAACCTAAAATATAACTGGTAAAAACGGTCGTTGAAAATTTGATCACTGTGTACCCGTTGTCTTGCAATGAATTTAAGCATTTTACTATGATTTAGGAACAACACATTTGCTTTATTGCAACTGTAGCGACAACCACAATTAAACCACAAGAACAGACAAGTAGCAAACTAGTGCCACTTAATAGCTAAAAGGAAATACAATGTACATAGCACTAACGAAAGTGTTAAGGGGTGAAGTTGGCCCGAACGACCGTGACCTTTCAGTCGCCATGCTGGACAGAAGCGTATAAAAGGACATTACTGGTTTCACTACCTAGTGGATGAACTTAACTTACAGAATGCCAATGAACATGTTAATTTTCATTCCATTTTGAGAGCCTTTTTGGCGTCCGTGCACAAGTGCGTATACCTGTGCGTGTGTGAGAGAGACAGACAAACAAAGGCACAGACACATTGTGTTTGCAAACAAAATAACCAAAGAGGGCTTAAATGGATTGTCGTGATATATAATAGGTGGGTAGGTCTAAATGTGACCTCAAAATGATTGGATTTTAACCGCCATTGCTGTTTGTTAGGGTACTGCAGCGGAACGTCAGGTTTACATATCTCGTATTCTACACGTGCCTTGGTCATGATTTTGGTAAAAGATAGCTCTTGCGCTCGGGAAGAATAAGTTTTAGACCCATAGCAACTTCTTCCTTCAGTTCCGTTAAACGTTTGTTTCGTTTACCCCCTAAATGTATTAACAGCTACATAGTACCCATATTCAAATCAGGGCAAAATGACAACACAAATCTCTATCTCCAGTTGCCTGGGCAAACTATTTACATCTATATTAAATAAGAGAATCTCAACCTTCCTCGCAGAAAATGGAATATTAAAGCCGAATCGAACAGGATTCCGTAAAAACTATAGAACAACCGATAATATATTTGTCTTAAAAACATTAATTCCCAAATATACACAATCAGGAAAGCGACTCTTTGCATGCTTTGTGGATCTGTCAAAAGCATTTGACTCCATCTGGCACGGAGGTCTACTATTTAAGATACTATCAAATGGCATTACTGGTACTATAAAAAGCCTTTACAGCCAATCAGTAGCATGTGTAAAAACAACCTCGGGCTTGAGTGAAAGTTTTCCAATCGAGATTGGAGTTAGACAGGGGTGTGTATTAAGTCCCTCGCTTTTTAACTTATATATTAGTGACGGGAAATTTCGATGCGCCACTGCTAAATACATCTAGAGTATCAAGCCTATTTTACGCCGACGATATTGTCATACTATCTACAACCCAGCACGGACTACAAAATGCATTAAACTCTCTAAATGTTTTCTGTAAAAATGGAAATTATCAATCAATCTAAGCAAAACAAAAGTTATTGTATTCAACAAAAAGGGACATATGTACCCAAATCTCAAATTTCACTCCCTCAACAAAGACATAGAGATAGTTTCCTCGTACTGCTATCCCGGGATTGTCTTCACAACAGGAGGCAATTTTACAACAGCATTAAAAACACTAAAGAAGAAAG